AACATTCTGGGACGTCTTTCGGAACCTAATCCAACTAGACCATAGCGTCATGAAACAAAATATTATAACCCATTTAGTGTTGTGATGAAGCGAGCAGTACAGTAACTGTGGTAAATTCGTATATCACTTAATTTAGAATATAATACTGAATAATTCCGAGCCAGGAGAACAATAATGACTGTCAGCTAGTTGAAAAGTAAAAGAATTGTGTTATTTCTCACGATATTAAAAATAATTAATGAAAATTTGCTTAATCAATCGCTTTGGAAATTAAGTATTGATGGGTTGAATAGGAAATTGTCCCCTCAGCTCTTTTGAAGCCCGATATCTGCATTATTTGATGATGAAGTGAATGATCTCGTAGCTAGGCAGAATAATGCTTTTCTAAGGCTGCTGCTGTCACATTTGGGGAGCCATCTTCCTAGCCCGCTCCCAATGGACGGAACAAGAGGTGTTCTTAGAGGTGTTCTCACGTCTGAGCATGCGCATAGAAAATTTCTTGATACGCAAGAGGATTAGTATATAATGATCAAACTTCTTCTAACCTTCAATAGATTCCTTACAGTGCTTTCAACCAAGCGCATGATATGAATTTCGACGACTGAGACCGCCTGCCTTCACGAGACATGGACTGATCGAAGAAGCACTAGTGCAAGCTAGCAACGTGCGTCTGATCATTTGTCCCTGCAGCCTGGTGATTTAATTTTCCATCATTCTATATAATAATATAATAATAGCGGTTTCAGCGTTTATTAGGCCATAGGCCTGTCGCCGATTCTTAACATCGCAAAACATCCACAGCTTGTTACGGGGTCGAACTTCGCAACTAACTGCTTCAATTTTTGCTTTGCTTTATCGCCCGGCCTCCTCGCCGATTCTGACCAGAAACTGGCGTACAGAGCTGGGATCGAACCCGCGCCTCTCTGTTCCAGTCATGGTACTCTGAACTTTAACCACTGGGCCACCACTGGGCTAGCATAACAAATTCTCGAAGCTGACAAATCGTTCAGGCAGACCGTAATATTAGAGTGACAGAGCTTACTTGCGTTGCTCTATACCTGCATCGGACAACACCCAATGCTGATCGCGTTCACAACAACTCTCTGAAACATTGAGTCATGCTAAATGTCTATAACTCTTATTGTTTCTCAACCAAAGCTACTGCACATGCGTTGTCCCATTTTTCTGGAAGAATGGAGTTGTCCGACTCACTGCAAAGAAAGGATGTGAATAAACGGTGAAAACAAGTCGTGCCTGTTTGGCAGGAATACGTCCTGAAAGCTCCAATACTACTATCTATAGATCACAGTGATGCTTCAGGTTTTTTGGATTTACTTCTTTGAAAAGTATTTCATAAAATGGTCACTTCACCTTATACCTCACAAGTCTGCGTCGGGTCCTTAGTTGTTAGGTTACTAAACGGAATTTAAGTTTTGAAATTCCCATCCCTTCATTTCCATAATCTCTTATCCCTTTAATTAAACAACAATGCTTGTATGTTTCAATTAAATAAAGACTAATTTAAACTTGCACTCTACATACATGATAAGTCTCCCATTTCCCTCTCTTTGAAGATATAGAGAGAACTATTTTAAGCCTTTTAAATAATATTTATTTATACCAAGTGCTATATTTACAATACAATATCATCAACAATGCTCACCAATCAATTGTTGTTTAGAAATTTGTAGCGCTAGACCTGAACAACACGTCAGCATTAGCGAAATACAGACAGAAATGTTTAAATCATATCTTCATATCAGATATATTGTGTCAGGCTAAGTTTCAATACTGTTGTGGAACGAAGATTTTTCAGCCTTTAACGATCCTTTGATATTTTTTTTTATTTTGTCTGCTCTACGATAGAAATACGATAATCATTAATTTACAATATTACAAATTTCATTTATTTGCTAAACATTCTTTGGAGTCCCCAATTGTTTAATAAATGTATATATACAAAATTTTCTTTATTTTTACGCTTTGTATGACCAATTTCGAGTGAGCGCAGAAACAATATGCGCCTTGCAGGAGGCTGGTTTGCACCATGGTTGAATTAATACATACCTATTAATTCAACCATGGGTAGCACTTGCTTGTATTGAATACTCGACGATTATTTGTTGCCATTTTCGTGGTTGGTAATATTATCTATGCTGCGCCACCAAAGCAATCCTTTAATTACGAATTTGGCATGTAAAATATACGTCTGTTGCGAGTATTTATTATGAAGCTATTGTTAAGCTCTTTTAAGTTATTTTTAAGTCACATTATTATTGCCTCATATGAATAGTACATGCTCTATTATATATTTTCACCTATATACTCCATGTTCATGAGTCAGTCATGCAGGATTAGCTACATTTCGTGTTTTCCTTCTATTTTTACCCCTTATTTTTGTAATTTATCTCATGGACATATTTTTCATAAAAGTAAAACCTAAATTATTATATTTTTATATATTTTTTATTTCATGCTGTAGACTTTTTATTGAGCTATTGAATTTTTTAAATACGATTCGTTTCCATTTTTTTAAGTAAATAGAGACAATGTCTGCAATAAGAATAGGAACAATTTTATAACTAGTCCATTCAACAGTGAAGGATCAGAAGTGTGCCACAGACGAGTGTGCCACCGACGAGTGTGCCACAGACGAGTATGCCACAGACGAGTGTGCTACAGACGAGTGTGCTACAGACGAGTATGCCACAGACGAGTGTGCCACATGCAGACGAGTGTGCCTCAGACGAGTGTGCCACAGACGAGAGTGCCACAGACGAGTGTGCCACAGACGAGTGTGCCACAGACGAGTGTGCCACAGACGAGTGTGCCACTGACGAGTGTGCCACTGACGAGTGTGCCTAGATCACCACCTCCGCAGCGTTGCAGTCTCCAGCAACTCTAGAGCTGAGGACAGCAAGACGCGTCTCCTAGATCACCACCTCCGCAGCGTTGCAGTCTCCAGCAACTCTAGAGCTGATGACAGCAAGACGCGTCTCCTAGATCCCCACCTCCGCAGCGTTGCAGTCTCCAGAAATTCTAGAGCTGAGGGCAGCGCCTCAATTACAATGCAGCGCGTTTCTCATTGTATATACATTATACAATTTCTATTCAAAACTCACATAAAAATTTTCATTAATCAATATCTTATAATATCACGTAATAGTGATGTCGGCGATGAAGAATAGGCCTGATGTGGCCTGTCGCCGATTCTAGTACTTTTCGTGACTTGTTCACAGAAGATCTAAAATCGTGTCATTTGACCGGATCTTTTCATGACTGACGATAGTTTGAAATAGCTACTCGACTTCCACCGGGTTCGATATGGTGCTAGGCATTTCAAGTCTGAACATATATTTTCCATAGCTTTATCTAGCTTGTTTTTGAACGCGTTTATACTCGGAGCGCCAACGACGTAACCGGGGAGGCTGTTCCACATGTCGGTGATTCGAAGCGAGAAGATTTGTTGTCGCGTGGATGAGTTGCAGCGCAGTTTTTTTAGTTTATAGTCGTGGCCCCTGGTGTCGATTCTTGTTTCAAATTTTAGTAATCCTTCGGGGACCTTGTATAAACCATGAGTATACTTGTATACTTCAATGAGGTCATCACGCAGACGTCGATAACAGAGGCTTGGAAGCTTCATAATTTTTAATATTTCTTCATAGGACTTTACCTTAAAGCCTGAAATTATCCTTGTTGCACGTCTTTGAACACTCTTTACTAAATTTTTGTCTTTTTCAAGTTTCGGTCACCACACGGCGTTTCCAAACTCTAGATTCGGGCGCACGACAGCAACAAACAACTGCTTCATCGCTTCTGCATCTAGGAACTCGTAAGAGCGTCTGATCAGTCCAAGAAGTTTGTTGGATTTATTAGCTTGCTTTTCAATATGCTTAGAAAATTTCAGCTCCTTGTCGACATGAACTCCCAAATTTTTTCCCACGCTAGACTTTTCAATCATTACTCTCTCGTTGCAACCATGTCTTCTCATACTGTAATCTTGCTGTTCATTGTTCATTCCGAGGTGAAGTACACTTGTCAGCATTAAAACGCAGCTGCCACGTTTCAGCCAGTTAACTAAAATATAAATACCAATTATATATATTTTGAGATGTTTAGTGCAATTTGATATATTGTTACAAAAATATTATATTTGTTAAACCAATTTTAAATCCGCCTTTCGTCTCATAAATTGACAGGTTGAACTCGAAACCTGAAGTATGAGATTCGAGCCTGCGCTCTCATGCCTACCGTGAACAGTCACGCTTCCGTCGCTGGCATGTGAAACGTCACGGAACCTTAATCACTGCAGGCCCAGTTTCTGGAACGATAACCTCAAACCGGTGCTAATAAAAAAAGTTCTAATGTCATTTAAACTTCTTCAAAATATCTTAAAATCACTCAAATAAAGTACAATGTACTTTTGATCTATGTTACATTTTTTGTGCGGTAAATTCACGAGTTAAGCCCAATTGCGTCTGATGTGTGATAGTCGCACAAGCAAGAGGGCAAAACAACTTACGTCTACTTGAAGAGTTTGCTGGAATCAATTTCCACATAACTTTATTATCAACTAATAAAGCACTGAATAAAACTCTGTGGCTCTTAAGTCGCCCCCGCATTTTATGTGTCATCTTTTGATAGGAATGCTGAAATGATTGACAGCAGTGGAAATTGTTGTGTTTAAGCATAATATAGAATGACAAAGCTTCCCAAATTTTTCTAGACTGTTCTTCTTCAATACCATTTAAAACATATGAATAATTTCTGGTTGAGAGCCGCTTTCCTCCAGTATAGTGGGGACTAACGTGTCTTGACGGTAGACTGAATGAGACATTCATGAACTATTTCAACTATTTCTTGTAGACTCGTACTACAAGTAAGATCGAAGCGTCATGACAGGAAACGTTATGCTCTGAACCTCACGAGCGTCTCTCACAGAATGATATAAAAACAATCTACGGATAAATTTCCTTAGAAATAAAGGAGCGGTTACTCACCAGAATGACCTCTTACAGGAGGCTCGCCGATGCTCCTAGCCAAGCTACCATCAGTTCACCAAATCACTTTGAGAATGAAAATTTTTTACAATCACACTGTTTAATAAACACTTATATGACTTGCGCACACCTGTTTTCTCAACACAATCCATTCATAACAACATGTAGGGATCAAGTTACACAGGTCAAGCGCAAAATTTAGGAGCGCCGTATGTAACCAACCACTCACTACAGGCTCCGCGGGATCACTGACTTCCTACGCCGCTTGCAACCTAACCTCCGCGAGCACAGCGGCTTGCAAGAACCACAGGCTGTTTTCACAATGGAAGTAACCTCAAGTTTCTAGTCCTATGAATTGCTGAAATTTCCAGCATTCAAAGTACTTGAAAGTGGTGCTTATGCGGACAACAGTAGACTTTAAACTTGATTTATGAACTATTTAATTCAGTTTGCTGATAGTTTAGAGAGCCTAAATCTCTTAAAGACTTAACTTTAGACCGTAAATAATGTTTTCAAGTAACAAGCATGATACATCAAGCATATTTTTCGACCGTTGAGAAAATTTATTAGATTAAAGTATTGCTAAAGGTTTGATTGGTGTCTCCCAAGACTTCCTTTGGTTCTCAAAGAACGAATGTTCGTTCCATCGACCAATCAAATTGCGCCAGACCTGTTATGTATATAATAGACAATTCAAGATATTGGGTTTAATTTAGTAATAACCTGCTGAACCAGTTGTATTAGTTATGCAGCTTTAATGGATGGTTCGTGAATATTTTCTCGTTGTTAGATAATTAGAGTTCATAGAAAATGTACGATAGATAATTGTTCCATATTTATATAGAGATAACTGAAAAAACAATCGCCTGTGCACAGTGATCTCATTGACATTGCCCGTTGTTGCTCGTGCTTGATGATTCCAGTAATTCGAAATCCTACAATCCAAAATCCCGTCATTACCATAACTCATTATCTCGTTAATAATAATAAAGCCTGCTTTACTCGTATTCATATTAAATGAAAACCTAATCCAACCTTCGTTTTACATGGTAGATAGAAGTTGAAGCCCCGCCCGCCATAGAACTCACGTTTCACTTGAGTTCAAAATATAGAAACAATATAAGTTTTTTTTATCTTTAAAATTCTATTTACATTTCCGAACTTCCACATCAAATTTCAAGTTTTCATTCAATAAAATTCTCCAATCCGTAACTATTCTCCAAGCTAGAATGAAATTTCATGCCCAGTTCGAGTTATGTCCCAACACAATAAGTATCGATACGTAAAAAACCATACGACCAAACGGGAGTTAATTCAACATTGGCAACGGAAGTTAATTCAACATTGGCAAAATTGTCAACATAACATAACAACAGAGATTGGCAATCGGTGATGCGGCCCAGACAATTAATTAAGAAGCCATGGCGTTCGAATAATCCATGTTATCCTCCAACATTAATGTAGATAACATTAATACTCTATTTAGTTATTTCTTGAAGATCATTGATATATCCTGATTCCACACCTTACTTATGATAAGCGCCTCCCATTCCCTACATCTGCATCTGAAAATCTGCTGGCGATCTTGATAAGAACATAACCCAGTAAAATTTTTCGGACGCGGCAGCTTCTGATTTGGATTACCAGAAGCTGGGGCGACTCTAAATTTTGTTAGGGAAGTTGTCTATAAGTTTAAATCTACTCGAGAGCGTAGGAATCTACGTGATTGTGCCTATTGCATGCATGGGAGCACCTCGATCGTGGGGGAATGTTCTCACGAATTATTTGTATCCCATCGAACATGATGACGAAACAACGTTGTTTAGTGTCGTTCAAGACGCAATCAAGACTAGTAATCAACCATGTTCAAACCTTTCTTTCCTGGTGGGACATTTTCGTTTTTTCGTGAAGAAATGTTGAAAGCGATTAATGTATATGAGTTTCAGATCTTCGATTAATTTAAATGTTGATGTGTTTTCTATATTGGACTGAAAGGTTGCTTCACAGCGTACGTTTTTCCACGCTTAGTGCGACTGCTGAATTTCTATTACTCTGCTTCGTTCTCGCTTAAAACGCAAAACTCCTGTTACGATTTGCACTCTACATGAAGGCCGAGTGCAAAAACCGTTAATAGTAACGACTGATACATCAAAGTTATTGTTTTATTATTTATCAGTCTTTGTCGATAACAATAATTGATCTATGAAAATCAGTTTCCAATTGACCGATGATTGGAAGCCTGAAATGATTAGTGATGCCCGTGAAGGCGTGTCGATGAACAAGAAGTACTATGCGTTCAAAATACTGCTAATTAATTGGATGAACTACTGCTTATGAATTTCAGATCGATTCATTATTGACTGGCTATAAAGAATAATAAAGAAATTAATTGTTTTTATGGCCCAAAATAAATTTATTTTTCATTACGACTCATTTTTCAGTAAAATTCTCAAGGCTGAGGAAGCCTATCACGTTGTAATTAACATAGATATACAGATGAAACCCGTTTTATATTCGGGTAAATTTTCAATATTAAAGTATATAATATGTTATCAGTTGAATTAAGTTACTGATGAAAATCCCAAAAATCATCGTAAATTTTTTTACACGTCCCATTAACTTGTATTTGTATTATATATTCTATAAATAAATTCATAGACTCTCAATCAACATTGAATTCAAAATTAATTAACTCACGTTTAAATATCTGATTATCCGAAGCATTTGCGATCAAGTTTTCATTTATTTTTTTTTTCTGCAACTCGACGACTCAGACCCACCACACGACTGCTCATCAATTGATATGTCGTCCTCTGTATGGTTACGTCGAGAGGACGTAAGTCGTTTGTGTGGTGAAGACGCGTGCTGCGATACCTCCATTCAAAACTTGGTAACTGATCCTTGGAGATATTTTTGACGAAGAATGCCTATAAGCCTTATCAGGAAGGTTTATAGGACAGTGAAGTCTTATTAACTTACAACTGGACAAATTGGTTGTTTTTGAAGTGTTTGGGATGTTTGAGAGTAGATTAGTCGGGAAAGACAGGCTCGAAATAAATTGACGGTGGAGTCAATCAGGGATCTGAGAAGAAAAATTGCACTCACCCCAGTCAAATTTATCCTTGTTTATAGTGAGACCACCAGACAAGAACGTGGACACTAAAAAAAACTGCGACCCTGTGCGAGGGTAGATGAATATACAGAAAAAATCACATTGAGTAGCGTGAGCTATTCATTGAATAAAGGGAGATATTTTCAACTCGCCAAGCTCAGCATACTTTATCAGAGTTCGATATCACGATAACGTTCGGTTGTACGAGGTGCAAGTCCAGCATTTTCAGCGTAAGCGTATCTAAGTGCCAAGCAGTATGTTGCTACCCAAATAAAAATTGAGAGTGGAGCACCTATGTTTTTATGGTGGCTATCGGCGGACCCCATAGGTGGAGCTTATATGATTTATACAGTGAATTAAGGGTGGCGTGCACCACCTATCCCACACCTATCACCTGCCAATGGCCACCACACCCGTAAAGCTCTTCGTACATCAATAACTACCCATTGGCACCGGTGGCGCATCAATGAGTCACCAGTGGCCACCTTTAAAATGAATTCAATAAAAAATTTTCCTTTAGTTTCAAATCCGATGCTTCTGCATTTACTGATATTGCATCACCCAATCACCATTCTAAGTCCTTAGTTTCAAATCCGATGCTTCTGCATTTACTGATATTGCATCACCCAATCACCATTCTAAGTGCTACGTATGCAAATCTACCATGGCAGTACAAGTAACAA